CAATTACATGGGCAGGATAATGCGTACATTTCTTACCAAGCATTGCAGCCTCCTCCTTTGTTTACCCTTCACATCCCTTCCCAGCCTCCCCCCCCACCCCAATCCCAATCCTTCTCCTATAAATGTGTATTTCTAACACCTATCTCAACCTCAGATAAAGCTGTTGTTCCTTTATTTCTACAAAGAGTTGTAGAGTTGTTTCTTATTCTATAAAATATAAGTCAAGACTTTATGATTTTCTTGTTCTCATATTTATGAAAGCAATAATTTTTGCTTTAAAGGAAATGAAAGAAATCATGTATCAGTATGTATGTGTGTACAAAGTATCTTTAGAAGGATTCAGGAAAGCCTTGTTATCCAAGGGGTTTTGGTAGCTGGATTTTTCTTGTTCACATTTTGTGCAGATTGATTTCTTAATGCTACATATATTTCAAAATTCATCCCCAAATATTCTAATTATAATTTATACTTTTAAAAGGTATACCTATAATAAGTAGTTATTTATGACAGTTAGTTTTGACCTAAAGAAACTGACATGATAATGAAGGTGTGTGTGTGTATGTGTGTGAACGCGCACACGCACGCGTATGCGTGCATGCACTGTGGATTTCAGCACAATAATACACATTGTAGTTCATAAAAATAGAGCTATTAATTTTTATGGCACCATTTTAATAAAGTATAATAATCTATGATTTCCCAAAAGTAATTATGAGTTTATACTCAAATATTAAAATATGTTTCAGACTGAAAATATGAAAGTGTTTAAATAATGCAAAATGCAATGTACTGCTCCCACCCCAACTCCAAGTGCCCTATCATCTCAGAGTATCTTGAAGTCTTTAAAAAACTACTAATTCCCCACATTTATTCAAGGGGAAAAAAGATAGGGATAAAAAAAACATAATTTAAAAGAGAGGGAGACAAACGAAGGGTGGATTAAGAAAATAAGTCTGTAAATAAATACACATATTATTCAACGATGTCTGTTTAATTTTTATTATCAATAGCGCTACTAATTTATAACATTCTTTACTGCCCAATACGTGATTAAATATATTTGCAATAACATGTGCGTAATGCCTCAGTGTTTTTACAGGATGTAAAACTATGCCTTGTTAAAACTTGTTTGTTTATATAAAGCGTGAGTGAATCATGCTTAGGGAATGTGTCACTGGAAACAAAAACAGGGAACATAAATCTTCTAGAAAGGTAACCGATTACATGCTCTTATAGTGAGGTGGAAGAGCACTAGTGGGCTGTGGCAGAAGAACACCTTGCAACCACACTGTGATGTTCCGAAGTGGCTCCTAGTAGAGTCCCTATGAGCAGCCAGTTACAGGCTGAGATAGAGCAGGAGGCAGAGAATTGATTCAGGAAGAGGGGCTTCCCCAGCATCTTCCGCTCACCCTGGTGAGAGACGTGGGGGAGGAATGTGGGAAAGCTACTCTATTTCATTCCGATGACCTTGGGTGACATATCTGAATACACATCACCTGTGAATCATACCGACAGAATCGGCGTGGCCAAAGGTGCATGAGATCTGGCCATCTCAGGACTTACCGAAGGATCCACACAGATGCCATGCTCCTCAGACCCACAACCATCAATGGACAGATAAATGGTCCTCATTTTCCTGGTCTTTGGGTCAATGTCACCTTCCCTTCATTTTGATCCTTTTTGACTTAGACCAGCTCCTCATTTTGGTAGACACAAGATTAGCTGACAATAAAGGAAGAATCAGAAACTCTGGAGCCCACTCTGATCCTCTCAAAACCCTCCAACTCTCTCGCGGATACTCTCACTCTCTAGGTCTACCTATTTTTTGCTGACTTTACCTAAAAGGGAAGCTGGAACACAGCAGAGCTTTAAAAGGTCAATTTTGTGTCACTCTCAACTTGACACTCTAGTGACTATGTGTTGTCTGAAACATAAATCCCAAGTTCTTTTTTCTTGTTGTTACAGTTTCCAGAGACAGACTATATTTAAACCAGAAATTTACCACTTATTCACCATAAGACCTGTAAATATGATGAACAGGGAGGTTACAATTACATAGGTAAGATAATGGATACATGTCATTTTAGACACTGTTACCCCTTCCCTCATTTACAACTTGGGGGAAAGGGCAGTGAGGAGGGGAAAGCAAGAGTATGTCTTTATTTTCTCTTGGAAAATGAGAAGGAAGTCTTGGACTATTTTAGGCACATAATATGTACCGCATCTGATTCTTTGGAGCTTACTAGCAGTGTACCTAGGGTCACTTTTTGTCTCTTTCTTCCTGATACAAGCTTGAATACAGTGATTCACCATAGGGTATGTGTTTCAATCACAAATCACTTCTACAAACCGGGTGCTGGAATTAACACTCACAGGTACAATTGCACTGATAAGAGAGATTGCTAGATAAGAGAGAGCAAGCAGATAAATTTTGCCTTCTTTATTCCTTTCCACAAAGTTTCTGAAAAGCACCTTTTAATAAAACAATAGTCTTGCCAGTTATCCCACTCCTGTAACCTAGCTACTCAGAAGGCTGAGAACTGAGGCTAGAAGTGGTAAGCCAGCCAGAGCAGGAAAATCTATGAAACTCTTAACGAATTAACTACCAAAAAGCCAGAAGGGGAGGTGTGGCTTAAGTGGTAGAGCGCCAGCCTTGAGTTAAAAAGCTAAAGGACAGTGTCCTTCTCCGAGTTCAAGACCTAGCACAACCATGCATGTGCACACACATACACACACACACACACACACACACACACACACACACACACACAAAGTTTATAAAAAGATTTTCTAGGAAAGCACTGGACCCAGTTGCTATGCTTCTTCAGGGCTTGTTAAAAAGTCATTTTCAGCCTTGAAATGCATCCTGTTGCATTACTTCATATTCCTCCAACTTAACTTCCATTTTTTTTAAATTTTATGCTGCTGATAATGTGTATGTACATCCCAAACAAACCAGCAGTTTTTAAGTTTTTGTTAGCCTCCACTTTCTAGATGACTTGGTGTGGGGGGAGAGAATAATATTCAGATAAACACCTGGCAACTTTTCCTTCTCCTCCTTCTTCTTCTCCTATTAAACCTAGGTAAATGAACTACCAAATTTCCGATATTAAAGAGCCTTTGTTGCCCTTTTCTCTTCTTAAAGAATTAAAGGGATAATTATTCTGGCAATTCAACATGCAAATTAGAACCTTATTTCTGGGTACAACAAGGTGTTTACTGACCATCCAGCTGATACATGGGAAAAGAACTTGACCAAGCTGTCAGGTGACAATATGGAATCCCAACCAGGATCCACCAGCTCAATTGATAGGTCTCTTTCATAAGAGAAACTTTGCATTTTGGCAGAGAATGGTTGGAAAAGTTTTCTGGTGGATGAGATAGACATTTGAGTCTAGTAAAAAAAACAATTCCTCTGGAGTATATTCTTAAAAGAGGATCACAAAGGTTCAATAACTACAT